GCACACATGCTGACATAACATCAGGTTAAAAACAGGTGATGTGTTCATCCAATGGGACACATCTCAGCAATAAAAGGGGACAACCGGCTGGTGAATGCACTGTCATGGATGAATCTCTGAAATGTTACCTGCCTGGCTTCTTTTGCTCAAGAGTATGTGAAGTTGTAGTTCAGGTAAAGCTAATCTCTAAGCATAAAAATCAGATTAGTGGTTGCCTCTAGTGTGTAGGGGAGGTAATTAAACAAGAAAGGAGGCACCAGGGAACTTTCTAGGAAGTTGGAAATGTTCTATATCCTAAAGGGAAGTGCTTTCATGGAGGTAGACATTTACCAAAACTCACTGAGTTCTTCATTTAATATCTGTCCATTTTATTTTTTTAAACTTTTTTAAAAGATTTTTATTTATTCATGAGAGAGAGAGAGAGAGGCAGAGACACAGGAGAGAGAGAGAGAGAGAGAAAGAGAGAGAGGCAGAGACACAGGCAGAGGGAGAAGCAGGCTCCATACAGGGAGCCTGATGTGGGTCTCCTCCAGGATCACACCCTGAGCTGAAGGCGGCGCTAAACCATTGAGCCACTGGGGCTGCCCTATCCATTTTATTTTTTTATTTTTATTTTTATTTTTTTATGCCCTATCCATTTTAAAAAGCAAACAGGGGTGAGGGCCACCTGGGTGGCTCAGAGAAATACAAGGAGTGCTTAGAAGAATTAAAGAAATGGGCAAATGAATTATAAGGATGCCATGCTTGAGGTGGCCGTAGTGGACAGCCCAGGTGACTAAGGAGAATGAGGAGGAGAAAGTAAGAGGGAAGGGAATGTGTTGAGCTTTGGAATGTGCTGCAGTTACACATACCAATAATTGAACTGCCCAACTACTGATCTGAACAATGACTCCCTCAGAGCTGCCTCTATAATACACCCTACACCCTTATGACTCACAACTGATTTGTAATTGTCCCAAAAGCCGGATATGACTCACTTCTTGCTACTGGCACACAGGGTGGGTAAAAAGCAATTGGAATTCCAGGACTCTCAGAAAAAAATTAAAGAGGAAGTTCAAGCACAGAGCATTTGCAATGAGGATCTTGGAGGAGGAGCTTCTATCACATCTTCCTCTCCTAGGGGATCACAACTTCCATTACCACTAATCCACTCCTCTGGCCTCCTAACCTTTCGACAAAGCCTTATTTTATTTTACCAACAAAACATACCGCCAGAAAGACTGGAAGTAGTAATAACCCCTTGAGGCCCTTTAAAGAGGGATAAGGAATAATAAACCCTTTCCCTGGACACCATGGCAACAGCTCTCCAAATATTTGCTAGTCAAAGATGGCTGAAGACCTCACCAACAGGAAAACCCTACCCTTACTTTTTATCAGGATAGGTCGTCCAATAGCTGGCTGACAGCTCCAGACAATGTTTGAATGAAAAGCTAATGGATTTTACTGTTACAGGTGCAGCCAGGCAACTGTCAGCTGGGAAATCAATAAGTCCCATGGCCTGGCTAGTGGGGACAGGGATCAGGAACAGCAAGCACCAAGAGACAGCACATCAGAAGGTTGTCCCCGCAGCACACAACACCGTTCTGAGAAAGGGGACTGAATCAGTCCTGTTTCAAGCACCACTACCCAAAGAAACCACAGGGCTTCCTCCCTGTTGCAGAAGTGAGGTTTGTGTTTTCCTTGTCAGTTTCATTTGCATTCCAGTAAAAGCAAACTGGAGCATCCCCCATCCACCCATCTCTCCTCAGGCTGGGGATGCCTAAAATTATACAAAAACTGCACACACTCACACCCTCCAGCGTCCAAATCTCAAAACTCAGCCAGTAAATTTCTCCTGTCACACAGGACAAGTCAGGAATAAGGTTATCGAAACAGAAAAGGAGAATACACATTTCTGCTTTTTCTCCAGCACACAAATGCTTTCGATGTTTTTTTTCCCCCATACTACTGAACAGAGTTGTTGAGGAAAATCAAAATTACAGATAGGGGGTACCTGGGTGGCTCAGTGGTTGAGCGTCTGCCTTTGGCTCAGGTCCAGATCTCAGGGTCCTGGGATCAAGTCCCAAATCAGGCCCCCCACGGGGAGCATGCTTCTCCCTCTGCCTATTTCTGCCTCTCTCTCTGTGTCTTTGAATGAATGAATGAATGAATGAATAAAATCTTTCCAAAAAAAATTATAGAATTGTTTCTTTGAAAAAAAGAACAGCTGGAGCAAACAGACTCAGCTGAATATGAATGCAAAATCAATTTTCCAGCAGGCTTTTCCAAACTAGGGGATGCCAAGGCATTTTCCTCAGAGGTGATCTCTGTGGAAGCTGTTGTCAGCTCCTTTGGGGAGGGTTTGATTTTTGTGATTGTTCATTGCTGGTTACCTCCACGGTATCTTAGCAACAAATGTCACGTGCTTGACAGCCACGGAAAGTGTGAATGCTATTAATGTACTTAAGATGAAATGTGAAGGGCCATCAAAGCACTGAGCAACAAAGGCATCTAGATTTGGATCTTATCAAGGGAGGAACCCTACAGATAAGAGCAGGAATATCCTGGAAAGACAGAATGAGCCACATAATTCTCCTTGAAGGTTCGCAGTCTCAAAAAAGCTCTCCTGGTCTTTTTTCCAGTGTTGCCCTGGAAGAAAAGTATGCCCAGCAATGACTAAATGAATCTCCCTGGCCCACGTTGCTAAAACAGACACAACTCTTTGCAAGGTGCTCTACTTTTCTGCGTAGAGTTTTTTGGGTGTGCCCTGGGCATACTCCATACTCTGCACACAACTGTTAACTGGTTTTGATCTGGCTGAGGGAAGGCATGCAGTTCAGATTCCAACAACTTCCATTTCCAAGGAAAAAGAACAAGAATTTCCATCTCCCTACACCCCCCAAAATGTTTTAAAGACAGTTAAGGAGCACGCGGGAGCAGCCAGGACTGCTACAAATACACATCATCCTGTTAACACCAGAGAAGGAGCTGCTAGCTCCCAGGAGTCTGGGGAACACATCAGGACTGAGGCTCCTGGAGAGAGAAAACTAAAGTCAAGCAACGCATCTTGCTCAAGACTTCACTGTCATCATTTCCGCTTAGGGATGAAAAAAAAATCAAATACAAGTTGAGAGAAAGGAAAGAGATCTTTCGGGAGGTGCATTCCCAATTTGGGGTGGTGGGGGCGGGGCTCAGTTCTTCCAGGTTTACCAAAATTGGACAGATCAAGCAGCTGGCCCTGGAGCAGCTCTGGAAAAGACTGGAATGGGAGCCAGGGCTTCAGGGGTTAACCAGCCCGGCCACATAGACAGTTCCAGAAAACTCCTCCTCCTGCAGCTGTATCAGAACCCCAGGGGGGGGGGGGTCCCTGGGTGGCGCAGCGGTTTGGCGCCTGCCTTTGGCCCAGGGCGTGATCCTGGAGACCCGGGATCGAATCCCACGTCGGGCTCCCGGTGCATGGAGCCTGCTTCTCCCTCTGCCTCTGTCTCTGCCTCTCTCTCTTTCTCTCTCTGTGACTATCATAAATAAATAAAAATTAAAAAAAAAAAAACTTAAAAAAAAAAAAACTTAAAAAAAAAAAAAGAACCCCAGGGGGAAAGCCGAAACTAAAGTAAGTAAGTGACAAATCTTGCTCAAGAGTTGAGCCACGATTTCCTCAGGCAGGGAGTCAATAGGCGTTTGAAATCCAAGGTCAATTACACGCCTCGTCTGCACAAGCTGCACTCCCTCGTCTTCGCGCAACCGGGAGGCCGAGTTGCCGCAACTCCCCTGTGCGGCAGCATCCTCCCTTCCTCCCCTCGGAGAAAACTGACGCGTCCCGGGGAGGAAGGAATCCCAGTTCAAATCTCCGCACACGAGGCCGCCCACTCCCCCTCCGGTCAATAAAAAACGTTTCCTGCCGTCCTGCGATCGGGTGACCCCAATTCTTTAATGGGCGGCTGTGGTTCTAAGCTTGGAAAAGAGCCCGCTTCTCTGATACCCAGGGCGAGGTCAAATGCCTCAGGGAGGCTACCTCAGGGAGGGCGCACCAACTGCTCCCATCACCAAATCTAAACCGGACGCCCCCGTCAAGGGCACATCGCCGTGCGCACAGCCGCCACTAAAGCCGTTCAGAGCGTCTGAGCGAGCAAGGCCACCCCGAGGGATCCGTGTGACGCTGCCGCCCCCCGGGCCCTGCCCCAGCGGAGGGTCCCCGCGAATTGCGTGTCTCTCAGCCGCGCTTCAGCGGAGGCCCCTAAAGGGGTCTGGGGGCGCGGAGGGCGAACTCCACCCGGGCCGGGGCCGCGGAGGCGACTCCGGGGGCCTGGGACGCGCGGGCCGCTTTATGACAGGAACCCGGGCCGGGCGCGAGGAACTCCGCGGTCGCCTCACCGGAACCAGGTGAGGTGGGTCCCCGGCCACACCTCGGGCCAAGCCCCGCCCCGCCCCGCCCCGCCCCGCGCGCCCCTCGCATCCGCCGCCTCCCATTGGCCGAGGGGAGTGGCTCGAGGCTCGCGTGTTCCAGTCGCGTCCAATGGGAGCTCGGGGACTGGCCCTCGGGGCCGGGGGCGGGGCCGCAGGCGGCGGCCACCGGCAGAAGCGAGCGTGCGGAGCCGGGGAGGAAGGTCTGCGTCCGGCTCTGGGCTCCAGCCGAGCCCCTGCGCGATACAAAGCCGCCCCGGGGCGTCCGCAGGGACCCCCGGGCTTCTGGCAGCCCTCACCCTAGAATAACTCGATGAGGGGTCCCTGCCTCCCTAGGGCTGGAGAGCCCGCTGTCCCTCTCTGAGGAACACAAGGGGGCCCCCCATCCGGCGGAGACTTCTAGGGAAAGCCTCGCCCCGCTTCTCGTGACGCCCCCACATCCCCAAAGCCTCGCAGTCCCATCATCACTCCCTCCAAGCCGTTTGGGGACATCGTGCCGTTTTCCCCACACATCTCACAAGGACGGGGTGATATTCCGCTTCCGCCCCAGAATTATCCAGGGGGTCCCCGAGTTCTGGGAGGTCACCCCACCGCACGCGGGAACCTGGAGCCAGCCTTACCTGCCGCCCCCGTCGCTGCGAGGAGCAGGGCGGCGGCCCAGCATAGCCCCCAGCCCTCGGGTCTCATGCTCCCAGCCTCCCGCTAGCTGCCGTGCAGGAAACCCGGGCTTCGCGCGGTCGGGCGGCAAATGCACGCGGGGCCCCGGTCATTTGCAGCATTTCAATGAGACTTTCCTCGCCAGGGGGAGGAGTCTGCGGTGGGGTGATTTTCGAATATCTTCACCTCACTGCGGGAGGAGGAGTTTCGAGAGGAGGAGTTTCGACCGGCCGATGTGACCAGGGCTAGTTAACCCGTGAAGCCCTGTCTCTGGATTCCAGGCTTTTCCAAACCTTGCTTCCAAATCATGGAATAGGCTAATTGATGACCATCTCCCCTCTGGCTCCAAAGGAAAAACTAGACCTGTCCGAAACTTTACCTCCTCTTCCCTCTACTTGCCTTCTCCTTTCTAGGAATCGTATATCTAGATTTTTAACGGAGTTTAGTCCTAGATACTTTTGAGACCGTTCGTCAGAATTGGTCTAAACAGTACTCAGTGAAGAATTTAAACGAAATCTTCGCAAATATTCAGCCTAAAACTGATCTTGTTTTGTGGGATCCAGCACTTGGACGAATAGGAGCAAAAACATCTCTGAAATCAATTGATCCGTCCAGTCGGGGTCTGGACATAAATACTGATTTATTGTTTTAGGAGGAGTTGAGCAAACAGGGAGTTTCCTCTTCCCAAAGCAAAATCAAAACTAAATGGATTTTAGTTTTGAAACTGCCCTAATCACAGAGAACTGATGGAGAGCAGCTTTTAAGAATCAGTCTCTTTTGGGATTCATGAGGTTGCCAAGACCACTTGCCAAAAAGGCACGTGTGAGAATCTTGTCTGAACCCCAGGAAGGCTCTGGTAGTCTTGGAGGGCACCCCCCCACCCCTGCCCCCCAGAATAAGCAGAGCTCTCTGGGGCTTTACAAACTGAGCTTGGCAGAGTGTACTATCTCAGCAGGCTTATGGAGAAACCCAAGAGAGGAGGCAGAAAAGAGGCAAAAAGGAGACAATTGAACCCTCGGGGAGGGGGTGGGTGGGAATGGTTAATCCAGAGTAAGAAAGAAAGAGCAGTTTAGGGCAGCCCTGGTGGCCCAGCAGTTTAGGATCGAGTCCCGCGTTGGGCTCCTGCATGGAGCCTGCTTCTCCCTCTGCATGTGTCTCTGCCTCTCTAATCTGTGTGTCTCTCATGAATAAATAAATAAAATCAAGAAAGAAGAAAAAGAAAGAAAGAAAGGAAAGAAAGAAAGAAAGAAAGAAAGAAAGAAAGAAAGAAAGAAAGAAAGAAAGAAAGAAAGAAAGAAAGGAAAGAAAGAAAAAGTTTAGAGTTCCAGCCTCGGAATCAGGCAGACCCTGGGTGAGTAAATGAGCTTTTCCGACATGGAAAGGGGAGGAAATAATGGTCGCTTCCCTTGTTGACAGGTTCCATGTGGGGGTCAAATGAGATAATTAGTAATCACCTGGGAAAATCTGTAAGGATGGGCAGGGTCTGGGAGTTTTTGCCACATTTATGAATGTCATCATCAAATTCCATTCCTATTACCATGTGTGACTTTTCTTTTTTCTTTTTCTTGTTTTTTTTTGGGGGGGGCGGAGGGGTCAGTTAAAAGCACTAGGTTTCATTTCCCTTCAGAAAAATTGCAACACCTGGTAAGTTCAGTTTCTGTTGAGACCCCAGCTTTCTCTTATTCATAGGGTAGGAGGAGGCCCTTTCTCCCCAGCTGGTCTGGAAGAAGTTATTAGGAGGGAGTTCTCTTCTGGGAAGGGACTTAGCTTAATATGTCTTCAAAGCTAGTTCTACAGAGATGTAAGGGCAGGCTTGGCAAAGGGCCATGAGAGCTCAGTAAAGAACATTTCAGTGATGCCTAACCCTGGACAAGGTCTCCCTTTGATCTGTCTTTGGAAATCGCAAGGCCCCACCTGTCCCTTCAACACCTAGGCATGGTCATATATTGCCTTAAGGATGGAGTCATGCTGGTTTTAACTTCTCTGTTTCAATTTACTGGAGACTCCATTTGCAGCTAGTTCATAGGGTTGATGTGAGAAGTAAATTAATACATAAATGTATAAAGTGTTTCGAGCCATGCTTGGCACTCAGTAAACACCATATATGGATTTGTACTCTTTTATTTTTTTGTCTATAACTGCATCATTTTTTCTTCTTTTCAGGGAAAACCTTCCTTGAAGGCACTAAAATATAATCCACAAAAATTGTTATGTAATATTGCCAATAATGAATAAGGTGTTTTTAGCACAAGTTTCTTACAACCCCAAGATCAAGAGTCGCATGCTCTACTAATAGCCATCCAGGCACCACTCAAATTTATTTATTTATTTATTTATTTATCTATTTATTTATTTATTTATTTATTTATTTTTAAAGATTTTATTTATTTATTCATGAGAGACACAAAGAGAGAGAGAGAGGCAGAGACACAGGCAGAGGGAGAAGCAGGCTCCATGCAGGGAGCCCGACATGGGACTCAATCCCGGGTCTCCAGGATCATGCCCTGGACCGAAGGTGGCACTAAACCGCTGAGCCACCTGGCTGCCCTCAAATTTATCTTTTATGCTGGTATTCTCACTGCTACATTTTTGGAAACTGTATTACACCTTCAATCTATAATAAATGTTAGTTTTCTAAACAAACAAACAAAAATCCTTCCACAGAATCCACTTCATTTCAAAGTGGCTGGGCTTGCATAGTCATCTAGGACTAGGGGAGGCATAATCTTCATTCTGGTGGACAACCTGCCATGTCCCAGTTTTTACCTCTAATTCATTAGGAGGCTCAGGCCAGAGGAGCCTGGCCTTTTGCCAGAAGTGAGCCACGGCAGATACAGCCTGCCCTTTGGCCCAGCAGGCTACATAGAGAAGGTGAGTAATTACAGATGCCTCTGTGCCTTCAAATAGGTGTGACTAAAGGACCTGAATCTACTGGACCATCACTTATCCCCATACGATGCCCATTAGCCACGTGAGAGCTGAGACCATTGCTTCTATCTCCAGTATCTGGCTGTGGTAAGGGTTAAATAAATAAGTGAAAATAAGAGAAATCATCATTGGCGTGGCTGCCATATTGGGGATGCACTGTTTCTGAATTCCACTTTTGTTGGGATTTTGATAATTCAGAACTCAACTTTGATCTCAGGCTGACAGTCTTTCCTTTGAAACAGAGCAGCAGATGGGACATCTGTGTGGCTCAGTTGGTTCGGCATCTGCCCTCCGCTTAGGTCATGATCTCAAGGTCCTGGAATTGAGCCCCATGTCTGGCTCCCTACTCAGTCTGCTTCTCCCTTTCCCTTTCCTCCTCAATCCCACACCCTGCTTGTTCTCTCCCTGTCAGTCTCTCTCTCTCTCTCAAATAAATAAATAAAATGTTTAAAACACACACACACACACACACACACAGAACAGCAGACTCAAATGCAATCCTGTATTGAGAACACTGAGAGAGCCACGAGTCAGTGGCCGGGTGTGTGGGGTGTGGATTCAAAACCAACCAAGATACCACCTCATCTTCAAAGACTCCAGGAGAGAGAACAGGGTAGGACGGGTCTACAAACATGGGCCTCTGCAGTGCTGGAGAATGCAGAGACCACCTCTCAAATGAGAAGTAGAAGGCCACTAAAGAAAAAGTATATTTTCATTTAGTTTGAATGGGTGAAACATTCCCATGATTCAAACAAGAAAAAAGACTTTTCCCTAAAATCAAGAAGAGAAAGATGCTGTTTTCATTACTTCTACTCAACATACCACTGGAAGTTTTAGCCAGAGTAATTAGATAATAAGAAATAATCGGTATCCGAAACAGAAAGGAAGAAGTAGAAAACAAGTAGAAGTTCTATACGTAGAAAACCCCAGGGTCAGAAAAGAAGAATAAAATACTTAGGAAAAAAATGAACCAAGAGGAAACACTTGTGGGATGCCTGAGTGGCTCATTGGGTTGAGGGTCTGTCTGACTCTTATTTCAGCTCAAGACATGATCTTGGGGTTGTGAGATTGAGCCATGTGTTGGGCTCTGTGCCTGGTGCAGAGTCTGCTTGGGATTTTCTCTCTCCCTTTCCCTCTGCCCCTCCTCCCCCACCCTTCTGGGCTCTCTAAATAAAATAAATAAATAGATAAACATTTTTAAAAAAGGATAAAAGACTTGTACACTGAAAACTAAAAAATGTTGCTGAATGAAATTCAAAAAAAGCACAAATAAATGGAAAGACATCACGAGTTCATTGATTGGAAGACTACATAATGTTGGGACCCCTGGTTGGCTCAGCAATTGAGCATCTGTCTGCCTTTGGCTCAGGGTGTGATCCTGGGCTCTGGGGATCAAGTCCGGTATCAGGCTCCCTGCAAGGAGCCTGCTTCTCCCTCTGGCTTTGTCTCTGCCTTTCTCTGTGCCTCTTGTGAATAAATAAATAAAATCTTAAAAAAAAAAAAAAAAAGAAAGACTACATAGTGTTAAGGTGTCACTACTGCCCAAAGCATTCTACAGATTGAATGTAATCTGTATCAAATTCCCTATGAGGTTATTAGCAGAAGTAGAAAGATTCAGCCTAAAATTCCTATAGAATTTCAAAAGACCCTAAATAGCCAAAAAAATCTTAAGAACAAAGTCAGAGGTCTTCTACTTCCTGATTTCTGTTGTTTTTTTTTTTTAAGATTTTATTTATTTATTCGTGAGAGACAGAGAGAGAGAGAGAGACAGAGACAAGAGACAGAGAAGCAGAGGGAGAAGCAGAAGGAGAAGTAGGCTCCGTGCAAGGAGCCTGATTTGGGACTAGATCCAGACTCCAGGATCATGCCCTGGGCCAAAGACAGGCGCTAAACTGCTGAGCCACTCAGGGATCCCCCCACTTCCTGATTTCAAAACTTATGGCCACAGTAACCAAAACACTGTGTTACTGGCATAAGGACAGACATATAGACCAATGGACTTGGATAGATGGCCCAGAAATAAACCATGTATATCTGGTCTGAATGACTTTTCACAAAGGTGCAAGACTATTCAATGAGGTAAGGGCAGTCTATTCAACAAATGGTGTTGGGAAAACTTGTTCACATGTAAAGTAAAAGGAAGATGTAAAAGGAAGAGCTAAAAAAAATAAAAATAAATAAAAGGAAG